AATATGTCGGCGACAATGGGAGATACAGGTGAGCCCATCGTCACACCATCTACTTGCTTGTAGAACTCCTCCTTCCACAATAGGTAGCCAGATGTAAGGCAGTGTCTGAGTAATACTGCATATTCTACGGGCATGTTGTTTTCTTCCAGCCTTCTAGTTACAATTGAGATGCAGTCTTCAACAGGTAAGCATTCTGCAGTCTGTGAACACGTACAGGATCGCCCCCGTCACTACATCAGATTTGATAGACCGCAAATCCTCGCTAAAGAACACCGATTCCTTCCAAGGATGATTCGCGAGGCTATTGAAATCAAAAAACATCCTAATTTCAATAGAGAAGATGGCTGGGTGCTACCATCTGCTTGGGATCCTATAATAAATAAAATTAAATCCTAACCCAAGCATACAACTGCTAGACTTCAAGATACCATAAGTTCATACTGCATAGATCGGAACAAAAGTTAAATTTTAATCTATGGTAACCGCGGTTAACTATGACATATGGACGTTGAAAATGTCAGGCCCGCCCGTGACCATGAGTGCTGTAAAGCGTTCGAAACGTCGGGTATTTAAAAAGTTAAATATACGCGATAAATTCCGTAAAAACTAGTATTATTTCAATGTGTAGTGTTCGCGTAAATATAAGAAATCATTAAGTAGTTGTCGCTTTACTTTTTGAAATACATATAATTTTATAAAAAAGAAATCTCGCTAATAATCTCTTTTGCGTATGTTGGATCATCATTATTACATCAAAAATGCTACTAAATGAAACAAACGTGTTCAGAAAGCAAACATTTATTTTCTTCAGTAGTAAAAAAAGACAGTAATAAAAAATCACTTTGTTTTATTTCGAGAACTAGTCATAAGTCAATTGTTTTTGTAATACGACCCGACCTACTGTGCCCACGATCCTTATCTTAAGTGGCATGAATCAATCGACGGGTAATTGTATAAAATATTAAGCTATTGCATACCTTTTATCGCGGGCTTTGAGTGCGGCGACCGAACCGAGAAATTCCGTCCGTAACGAAAACAACCTAAGGCCCGAAAACTTAACATCGTCTGACGTCGTTTAAGTTCGGCAGACTTCGGCACGGTGTTTGCGTGCATTCTACTATAGACGTATGCGTGTAGACCAGTTGCATGTATTGTAAGATAATAAAAATATTTTAAACAATAATATTATTTATTGCAAGAAGCATATTCTTTGGATTTATATGAGTCGTCGTCATGCTAGCAACTTTCGTGAATTTAGAGTATTTAATAAACACAGATTTTATAGAAAATTATCGTTTGTCGGAAGAACTCGTTAATTACCATAAAGCTATAGTTTCAATGATAAAAATTCCTGAATAACCTACATCTATTGTAAGGTAATAAAAATATTTTAAACAACATTAACATCTCATTTATTCAATAAAAGAAAAAAATTGTTTTCTTATCGGTCACCACGCTCAAAAAGTGTAACTTGAATTAATATCAAAGAAAAAAAAACAAAGAAAAAATACGGCATGAATAAAATAAATAAATAATTATAATTGAATAAGTTGATAAAAATGCTATGCAATAGCTTTACCGCGGCAGTCACCGAGTGCCACACGTATTTTTATATTGTAAATTACGCTTTTAGAAAAGTCCTGCTTAGTTTCTTTCTGGTTCTTCCCAGGACGGAGGTTTTTTCCGAACCAGTGGTAAAGCTGAAAAACTCTCAATTGGTATTCTTGTAATCTATATTGAATAAAAATGCTTCTATTTTATTCTATGATACAGAATCAAAATATATGTGCATTGTAATTGCATTGTAAGGACTAAGATGAAATGCCTCGTTACCAGTAAAAAGGGTCCCCAGTTCTCTATACTCACCATACAAAACAAAGCAGCGTGAAGCTGCTATTTTATATTGGTGTTCTGTAAGAGGGACCTTCCTGGTCGAGTCAATCTAGAATAGAAGAAATAGTGTGGCTGACATGACTGATGATAATGAAGAAGAAATGTTTATATGTAAATGTATAATAATCTTAACATTATTTACATATATACATACACAGGTAAACTCTTACACCTGTCAACTAAAGACATAGGCAGAAAAACCAAACTTACATTAGACATGATCATGATTTGCCTTTCTCGTTGCTTTCACATTATTATAACTTTGCATACATGTTATGTTTAAAAACTTTTTTATCCAGGTTACAAGCGCGAAGGTATCGACCCAACACCGTACTACTGGTACACGGATCAGAGAAAATTCGGTTCCGTACCTCACGGCGGTTACGGATTAGGTCTGGAGCGTTTCCTTTGCTGGTTGCTGGACCGATATCACATCAGGGAAGTGTGCCTGTACCCACGTTTCCTTGAACGCTGCACACCTTAAAGAACGTCTAAATAAAAGCTTCACTTTCTCGCATTTGTTAGAAACTCTGTGTCTCTATGTATACCAGTTATAAATATTATGTAAAATGAGATGCTTCGAAATGGACCAAGTCTAATGTACAATACTTTGAAAAACAGAGAAAAATACGTTGGTATAAATTACATTTAAATTAGTATATATAGTGGTGGTATACTTCAGTGGTTTTAATGATTTATTTATCGATGATTTTACCTAACTTTCAATATGTCGCCAGACCGATTTACTGAAAAATATTATAAACCATACATTGATTCTTTAAAAGAAAAAAAAAAACATCTGAAGTTTTAAATGTCAAGTGTCACATACTTAGCCAAAAAAGTCATTAATCAAATGACGTATTATTATCGAGTACAATCATTAGAATTATAAAAAGAAAAGAAATTAAAGGAAATAAGATACTTATATTATCACAATCATCTTTTGAACACGGGCATTGTATTTGTGTCTGCTGAGCTATTCTACTTATTGAACACTTTCACGCTGCGATTGGCGAACGATCAAAACCGCCATAAAAAAGAAAGAAGACATATTACAGCCATGTTGTTTGTCGGAGTGTATTGCTATTTTAAGTGTAATCAAAAACTGTTCTATTTGTGGTTGCGTATTTTTAATGTAGTGTACATAGGACCTGGCCCATTTTACAAAAAGCTTGCTGTAATTTAATTAAATGGAGTTATGAATCATACTGATTGTTTTATTCACATTGTTTCCGGGACCAAATTTTGAGTGAGATTGAGAGATCCTACGGACAGCTGTACACGTCATCGTTGCAGCCACACGCAAGTGTGAGTAACGATCCAAGAGTAAGTCTTATCCAACACTATTCCGATGATAGAGTAGTGGTGTGAGACAGGGTGACGTTATATACCCGAAACTCTTCATCGCTGCATTGGAAGCCGTTTTCAAGCTACTGGATTGGAAAGGATACGGTATTAACATCAATGGCGAGTACATCACTCGTTATACATCCCTCGATTTGCCGACGATATAGTTTTTATGGCAGAATCGCTGCAGGGCCTAAGCATTACGCTTTATTACTTCAATAGTGTATCCCAACGGATAGTTATTAAGGTAAACGTAGACAAAACAAAAATCATGTGCAATATCCATGTTAGACACATGTTGGGAGCACTTAACTGGAAGTTGTTGACGAGTATGTTTACCTGGGACAAAAAGTCCGGCCAGGTAAGTCCAACTTCGACCGAGAAGTCGATCAACGGATTCAGCTCGGCTTCACTACCCGCCGTATGAGGTCCCTCAGGGAGCTCTGGAGAGGCCCATTCTCGGAGTTTCTCTGCGTGATAAACTTAGAAATGAGGACATCTGCAGTAGAACCAGCGTGACCGACATAGCCCAACGGATTAGTAAGCTGAAGTGGCAATGGGCCGACTAAATAGCTCGAAGAACCGACAACTTTTGGAAAGAAAGGTTCTCGAGTGGCAGCCTCGTACCGGTAGGCGTAGTGTAGGGCGACCCCCCACTAGATGGAGTGACGACCTGGTAAGATGCAGGCAGTCGACTGATGCAGGTGGCTCAAGATCGTGCTTTGTGGCATTTTTTTGGTGTAGGCCTATGTTCAGCAGTGTACTTGTGAAGGGCTGTAATGATAATGACGATGACTTGAGTCTATTAACGAAGAAAAAAAGAGTTACTTTTATTCACGAACTTTTTTATTGCATGTTATTGTTTTTGTTATCGCACTTTACAATTTATTTCCAACTCACTTTTTCAGAGATAACAATTTTTGATAAAATAATTACTAGATACCTATATTTAATGAGATTTAGAATTAGACAAAGCGTTTTTACTATGTATTGAACACAACTAATGGCATAAATTTAACCAAAAATGCGTTACAATTACTTACATAAAGTCTGTAATAAAAAAATCGATTTGCAAATTGCAAACAAATTATATACAAATTACGTGTCACGCAGCTTGTCTGCGATGGACTCCTAATCTACTTAACCGATTTTAATCAAATTTGCACACCGTGTGCGGTTTGGTCCAACTTGAGAGATAGGATAGTTTTTTTTGCCTACCCACAATTTTTTTATAGGATAGATTTTTAATAGGACATGACAAAGGGTCGTCGAAAAGGGCAGAACAACGTCTGCGTGGCAAGCTAGTTAATTAATAAAATTGAAGTGTATGAAAGTTTTACTACATGCATGTGAACGTATATACGATACTTAGAACAAAAGTAAAATATTTTTTTTTGTGTCTGTCTATCTGTTTGTTCCAGCTCATCTCCGAAACAGTTGCACCGGTTTTGAAGGGACTTTCACTGGCAGACAGCTAATGTTATAGGGAAATAGGGAGTAACTTAAGCTACTTTTATTTTAGAAAATGAACTAAAGTTCCGATCAAAAAAATTAACTCATAAAAATCCAATCGTAATAAATTCGTCGCGGACGAAGTCGCAGGGAACAGCTAGTAAAAAATAAAGTTTTTAATTAGGATTATGCAAAACCTACAGTTAATTATAAATATAAAAAATAATGTCCTATTTTATCACCAATGTTTATGTTCAGTCATTAAAATATTGAGTTAAAATTACAATAGTAGTATAACTAAGTTATAACTAAGGCAACCATTCAGCGTCATCATCTGGTCTTGCAGACAGGCGGTCTCCGTGCGATGCAGGCGGTTCAGTGAGGTCTTCCTTGCTATCAGTTACTTTATGGTAGACTTTCTTTCCAGCTTCCACTACGTATTCTACGCCATCAGCTGTAATAAATATCATCATTTATTATGTAATGTAGATTGTAAATGAAATATCGTTCATTTTTTACCGACTTCAAAAGAGGATATTCTACTTTCGACATGATTTGACAGTATCTATACAGGGTGTTAGTGTAAACACCGTTATCCTTGAAACCAGTGGTTTGGTTTCACTTATAGAACTTAAATTGAATGAATTTAAAAAAAAACGCTGTTTTATTTCATAAAATTTAAAAAGTTTCTGTCCGACACCGTCCGTAAATTCATGGATACCCTATTCGCCCGAATGAGTAATCACTGTAAAGATTACCGCCCGCGCTAGCTACCTACACAACATTCAATATAAAAACACAATAGGTACACATAACCTGTGATGTAACTTTTCCTTCATACTTTCATCCTGGGTTAGGACAGGCAAAAATTGAGGAATTAAGGAAAAATTGAGATTTTACTAAAAGCAATGTTATTTTTCATTGAATTTACGTTCTGTAAGTGTGGTTTCAAGGACAACGGTGTTTACACTAACACCCAGTATATTAGTTAATGTATGTAGCGTTTCGATACTTAAGTAAATACCAATTTATATGTTTTATTTTTGACAAATAGATGTTCAGTTAAAGCCCGTTTTTGGAAAGAACGAACGGGTTTTCCCTAGTTAAAACTAGTTTTTACTGAATGCCTTTGTGAAAACTAGAAATACCTAGTCAAAACTAGAATTTACCACTGTTATTTGATTTTCAGATAAAACTAGTTGTGGCTCCGAGGTTTAGTTAAAACTAGCACTAGAGAAACTAATTTGGAATTGATAACAAGATATCCTTACTGAATATTTATTAAACAGATTCATGTTCATAGTAATAATAAAGCCCCGGATACACTAGGGGACATTTTGTCCCGCAACATGATGCGGAACACTCAATCTACCTGACGATACAACGTTGCACAGTGACCCGCAACATGGCCTGCACCATTTTACTCGACGCGGGACGTGCATGTTCTCGCTCCGAGAGCGAGCGCACATGTCCCGCGTCAATTTCGCGCCATTTTGTTAATCCAATGGCAAGTTTGATATGAGGGCAAACAAACTTCTGCAACGGCTTCGGCACTGCGGGAAGTGCAGCCCCTTCGCCCTTGTATAGCAAATCACAGCCACCCATGCTCACTTCCGCAGCTTCGGCTTATTGGTCGCTTTGGGCGACCAGCCTCAGCCGATACGGCTCGCACAGATGACTGTGGTTTGCTACAGCGAGCGGAGGCTGCTCTCCCTTCGCGCCTACGGCTTTACGAAAACACTCTAAGGTAGGGCAGACAAGACTATGTGAAGTCGGGGCGTTCTGATTCGGTTTTAGTACAGATCCGACCCATCTTATCTATAATAATCGCTCATTCTCAGGTCCGGTAAGCAAGAAAAACTCCAAAGTAATGCAATCAAATCAAATCCAGAACCAACTCGCTTCGGAAAAACGCTTTTTGTCTAGTGAGAACTAGTTTTACCTGATATTCAATTTTGAGCATTAGTTAATTTTGATTATAACAAAGGCATTAAGTTAAAACTCATTTTAACTAGAAAAAATGCATTCTATCTAAAAACTGGTTTTAACTGTAGCATATATACTTTCATTAATTATATTTCTCATTTAAATTTCAACCAGAACATCTAAAAAAGGTCTCTGGTTCTCTACACTCACCATACGAAACACCAACAGCATTGAGCTGCTATTTGACGCTGGTATTCTATGAGAGCGTGTTCCTTCCCCGGCCGAGCCGACACATTCGTTCTGCAACCATAACATAGTTGCAGCATGGCTCTACCACAACAGAATAAAATCACTTACCAATAACACCACCAGTCTTTCTCACAGCCTCCCCAATGTTGTGGGAAGAGAAAGTGTTGGGGTTTATGTTGATGTTAACACCCTCCGTGCCGTTGGGATGTTTAGGACAACCATTTTGTGTGATGATCGACAAGTCGTATGGGTCGACGCCGAACGACGCCAACTTTGTACGCATCTGTAAAAATATAACTTTCAAATTAACCGCGTAGTCGCGATAAGCATCATCATCTCATCTGAAATATATACATTCCTTTTTATTTAAAAATAATAGCCAGTGAAAAGTTCATTGCTAAACATATGCCTGCCCCATATGTATGCCCCATTCGCAGGGGGGGGGGATATTTGTAATAGTTGCCAAGCATGGATGACGCTGCTGCTCATCTTCTAGTATATTTCTCTCTGTCATCTTTTATGACATTTACTGGACGATATGTCTGAGCCCCCCCCCCCTCCACAAACTCCCTTTCCGTAACTAGCCAATATCATACCGTCGGTCGTAAGAGATGATATTAATGAGGAAATGGCCACTAGTACCTCCCTGATAACTCAAAAATAATAATACAAAACTGCGATTTCCAAGACGTCCCACAAGCGTGAACACTATGGTAAGTATAGAATAATAACAGGACGTTGTTATAACTTTACCTTGTCTACATACATCTTATCAAGTTCCTTTGTGCGGGAAAGTATGGTCGCCGAGCGTCTGTGTGCAAACGCAAGCTTCTGGCACGTGAATATGGCGGCGTATGTGGTGTAATCTGTTGACAAAACTGTATAGCTCGCAGAGCCCGCTACGCCTGTAAAACAAACAAATTTTATTTTTATGCTTCTGTAAAAATAACGTCCCCCACTACGCTTTATTGGGCAGGACCACCTTGTGTATAAACTTGTGTATAGTGTACAAAGGCTATAATGAACAGAAAATATTTTTTGAATAAAGCTAATTTTACGGATTTTATTGCCTCTAATTTAACGTTTTTAGTTTCCGACGCTTCGGGCGTTTTACAACACGAATGGTCACCTTTAAAAATTTAAAAGTACAAGGTAGCCTTCGTTAACTATGATGTCAGGACGATAAACACCTTAGTCCCCTCCCTGATCATGGGTGTTCTAACAGGCCTTCTACACGGTCGGGACCAACCACCAACCGTCGTGACCTTGGTCGAGTTGATGTAAAAATGGACAGTGTAGATATCGGTTGTCCGACCAATATTTTGGTTGATGTCCGACGGCCTTGGTCGCGAGCGCATCCCTCACGACACGTCGGGTCCGTGGTCGAGCCCGACCGTCTGGAAAGCTGTCGGCCGACGAGAGCGCCACAGTGCGTGCTTGGCAGTCATCGCGTTGCAATGGCGCACAATTTTAAGTCATTCGTTAAAAGTGTTGATCCATTCTTAGAAAATTTCGAAAGTCTTTAGAATCAAGAATCCTTAAAATATTGAGATGGTTCAAAGTAATTCGCTCTTTTAGCCACAGTTTCATCCACTTTCTTTTTTTCTTTGTTTTTCTTCTTCACTCAAGCATAAGAAAGTTATTGCCAAACCGATCTTTTGTTCCTTCGAAAGGCAAGGAGCCATATTTAGCTAATTCTTTACGCTTTGAATGTCGTAGAGAACTGACAAGTTGAGTCAACCACCCGACCGTGTAGAACGAATACAAAAATCGGTTAACCTGAACAAGGACACGATGACGGCGGTTGGTTGGTATTCGCGTTAAAAATATAGAAATTATTTAATATCACCTATTTTCAATATATGTATTCATATTCTTATCTATACTTACTTAATGGAAATCTCACTTTCATTCTACCGGGCACTGCTGGATCGGGTACAGTGAGGACTCCTTTGTATCTGTGATAGAAATAATGAAGATTGATATATATATTTTCGATGTTTTATTACTTCACAACAATTTAATATTACAATTATAGTACTAAATATATCAGTAACTACTGTAACGATTAAGAACAAAGCTGGCAACGATTCTTACTGCAAGCATGTCAAAAAAACCGGATGTAATTTAGATACTTATAAAGCGAAGCAGTTTTAAATTATTTAGCAAATTCCTGCTCCGTCATTACAAATAACATTGAAAACAATGCTCTTTTAGACTATATTGATCACCTACTACTTGGTTAATAATTTGCGGGCCATGGGTTTGAATAATTGCCGACCCAAAAATCTTTGCTAAAACTTAAACATAAATTGTTGGTCTTTGGGTTTCGGGGTCATGTCTGTAAAATCTAGAAATGACAGAGAAACATGGACCCACACACACACACACACACACACACACACACACACACACACGCACGCACGCACGCACGCACGCACGCACGCACGCATGCCAGCACGCACGCACGCACGCACGCACGCACGCACGCACGCACGCACGCACGCACGCACGCACGCACGCACGCACGCACGCACGCACGCACGCACGCACGCACGCACGCACGCACGCACGCACGCACGCACGTACGCACGCACGCACGCACGCACTCACGCAAGCACGCACGCACGCACGCACGCACGCACGCACGCAATCACGCACGCAAGCACGCACGCTCGCACGCACGTACGCGCGCGCGCACGCACGCACGCACGCACACACAGCACACAGACACACACACACACACACACACACACACACACACACACACACACACACACACACACACACACACAATTCATACTCATACAGGTATTACATACGTGGAATTTATTTTATTTTTTTAGTCGGCTTGAAGTACTTTTTATTAAGTAAATTTCTAGAAATATATATTTACAAACCTGTAGTCGTGTTCGAGAGGAGTCAAGCCTAAAAGGAAGTGCTGGGAGACCTGGTCTATTTCATAAGTGCCGGGCTCGTCGGTTTTAGTGAAATTGTATGTGATGCAATGCGACGCGGTAGAAGTCTTTTGAATCACGTACCACACTCCTAAGAGCTGTAAAATAACATAGTCATAAGAGGAAAGTAAACTCAAAAATTTGTAACTATAGTAAGCAAAAATTCCCATTTGATTTTAGGGTACACTCGAATCTAGCCGCCCCTTGAACTCTCCCTCTCACGAGCCTATGTGTATATTCGCTTCAGAGGATAATGAATTATATAATAATTAATAATGATAATAAAAAAGCCAAGCTGCAGCTATATTAGTAGTAGCACGAATGGGTCGGCTAGACTGGGTTAGGTTCACGCTCTCACAGAATACCAGTGTAAAGTAGTTGCCTAAAACTGCTATGATTCCTATGTTTAGTGTAGAGAACCGGAGACTCTTTTTACCGGAAACACTTTTCATACACTCTAAAAACAATACCCTCTTTATGGGGCAGTCGGGTAAGAAGTAGTGAATAATCTTCTTATTTTTATTTTTTTTATAGAACAAGGGTGACAAACGAACACACAGTCCAGTAAGTGGATGCTGTGGCCCATAGACATCTACGTTTATGCTCGATTAAAAATCAAAATTCAGATACGTTGTTACCCGCGAGGACTAAGATAGAATGCCAGTGAAAAGAGTCTCTACACTATGTCTATTTTCTATAAGCAATCAAAATACAAATGCGTTGTCACCCCTGAGAATTAAGTAGGATGCCTCGCTATCAATAAAAATGGTCTCATCAGCAATGCGCTGTTATATTACGTTGGTAATTGGTATTTGGTGAGAACGTGATCATTTCGCGGTCGAGAAGACCTTTCGATACTGCAGCTAAAGCAAGCGCAGCGTGGCTCAGTCGCGTATACTGTTATCTATCAGCTGTGACATGTGATGGCATGTAGGTAATGATTATGATAAAGTGAAGCATAGAACATTTAAAATAAGATTCCGACGAATAATTTAGATCTAATAATAATAATGTCCTACAAACCGAGTTTCTGTAATTGCGGGCAACCTCAACGGAGTCCAACCATTTCCGCAGGGCAGAATTATAGCGCCCGATGGTATATTCAAACAGATGCACTCTCTATTCTCTTCCCATCCATTTTCATAGTCCTATTGGACTGGGGTGAAACACCACCAATTTATTGACAGAAAAGCCCAGTCACTGATTTGGGCCGAACCCGGGATTCGAACCCGGGACATATGATCTGCAATCGCGTTAACGATTGTACACAAACGAGTAGAGAGAACTCTCTCTCACCCAGTTAACTGAAATCAACAATGGCTTGGCCATAATGGAATTTCATTCATTTTTATTTCGTCGTTTAATTGTCATTTAAAGTGTGAATGTGATTTATGCGTTCTTTTATATTGGATTCAAAAACTCTTGATACACATTAGCGATCCTGTAAAAATTTAACCTGCCAAGTGAACCGATTAAAGGCAAATATCTTCTGTACGATGCCCCCCCCCCCCCATTCCATGTCCAGAAGAAGATAGGTTTATAAAAGATAAGATAACAATAATACCCTAGATTCTGTGGGACAGTCCTGTCGTATCAGTTGTGTTGTTAAGAATATCATTAAAAATGTATAATTACCTACATCAAATAACTTGAATTTAGTACTTTTTGCTCCTGTATTAAAATTATATTTTAAGTTATTATTTAAGTTTTTATAAAACAAATATTTTTACTAGGTTTTTATTAACCCGCTTTCGTGTATGTTGGTTTGGGTCGAATATCGAAAAACGATTTTATTTATACTAAGTTCTCGATGAGCTAGTGAGTTGAAATTTTGAACGTAGCGTAGCTCAGAATCGGGTGACATTGCAAGATATTGAAAAAAAAGTGTATTGTTGTTTTTTTAATACATTATTATTTACTTGTTTGAGTTAGAATTCGGGAAACTTTGTTTAAATCGATAAAAATAAAGTACTCCGGTTGAGGAGTAACAAACACTGTTGTCAATAAAGACGGTTGAATCATCGCTTTTATCTAACGACTCAATGATTTCCCTTCAATGAAGCTGTCACGATGACATGACATTGTTCGCTTATCGCACGTATAGTTATTTTTAATAATAACATATATAATTCTCTATTTCTACTTCCTTCAGATAAACTTACATCAGATAAAGGTCTTTATGTATTCATTTTTGAAACTTACATAATATATTGTAGTTTGTGCATTCTTTAAATAGTAATAAACTAATAATGCTATTAACATTACTAATATATCTTTTAACCACTTCTGGTAAACTTAAAATGCTTGTGTTAGGAGTGGTTCACGAGAGTAGTCGGATGGCGGATTCGAACCCACGACCTTTTAAGTTCTCGGTCCGCGCCTTGCCATTAGGCTACTGTCACTTATGTCATTATGTATTTTTTTATTATAGAGCATAGCTGCTCGCACATAATAAAAAAGTACATAACATACATAACTGGGCTCCTTCCCTGGACCTCCAGGGAAGGAGCCCAGTATCACTGCGACCTAAAAATCTATTGTGATCGATTCACTGCTTGTTTTCAATGAATAGAAGGAGTTGCTTAGCTGTGAGCAAATTCAATTCTTATGGACGAAGTACATAGTTTTCCAGATGTTACGTTTGCGCATTAAGAGACACGTGTCCAACAGTGTCCAGTCAGCAGTGGCGAAGCTAGAGCTCCAAGCTAGGGCAAGCCCAAGATATAAATTGATAAAAATATAGATTGTTGTGTTTAGCAGTTTTATAAAAATATACCAATCTTGGTTTGTCTCCACGCTTCAGTTTCATATACAGTGCTGTCAAGGACGTGTTTAACAAAGCACACAGAAGGCATACCACTGCTAGATAGATTGTATTACATATCAGCAATTGCATAGCTTCGGTGGCTTTGAAGAAAGCCGTTTGGGTTTGTTTAAGCGAAAGAAAAAAAATATTTACATCCAATACAATACATGAACAAAAGTAAAACACGAACAAAGTACAAACAATGTACAAAATTAAAAAAAAAATATTTACATTCTAATGGATAAGAGATAAGATAAAATAAGTGGAATCGTCTAGCTTTCTTATGGAAAGATTTAATTACGTCCACGTAAAATGTTGGTGAACGTTTTAATTGTACCAATAACTGTTTTAATTGCGATAATTGATAAGTCTGAAATACACTCTTAACGTTATGTAGTATCACAAATTTTAAAGATTTTCTCTCCGATTATCACTTTAACACACTTCAATTCATCACAAGGAACACTATTCTCCATTTTCATTAAAAATCTTTAAAAAAGCATACATTTTGAACTCATAATATTAAGGACGCGTTTGCAAATCAACCAAAATTAGGGTGTTTTTCGGTAGATTTTGTGACAAAACTAAACCAAATCAAATATAAGTAAAATCAAATATAAGTAAAAACTACCATGTATAGATTGGTTCTTCATCTGCAAATGTCTGTAACTCTTTTGTTGAAAATAGTAGTTTTTTATGTTGTAAAAACGAACTTTCGTTGCCATTTTCTACAAAATTAACGATACCGGCTTGTGTTTCGGTACATGTTTTGGTCTATTATCAACATATTTAAAAAATTTAAAAAATACTATAAGATGACAGACATATTCAATTAAAAAACCCTGGGTTTATTTTTTAACAAAATGTCACAAATAGTCGTAAAAAAAATAAAAACTGATGCACATTTTTTCACATATTTTGGTAATACGGATGAATCATAATGTATTGCAATAAGGGCTATTTTATTGTTGGTGCCTGCTTTGATTTATTGTACAAAGATTTCGATGAAACCGCAGTCCGCGCTCGGCCGCCGTCGTGAGTGGACACTGTACCGCCTGTTTGCAGCGGCTCATTCTGAAAAGATCGCTGTACATACACAAAATATTAGAAAAAAACAAATTGGAAACATAAGTACTTGACAAGTGATAAAATTATTATTTTTATACTCACAGTTTTTATTTAGCTAAAAATAAGTAGGATATATAAACTTACCTACTACTGCAACTCGTGGACGAGCGGAACTAGGTGTGCCGAGTTTGGGCTCGTTTTGTTGGTTATAATGAGACCTTACCTCTGGACTTGATGGCATGACCTGAAGGTGTACTTTCGTGACCGCTATTTGAACTTCTTGCAGAGTAAAACTAGGGGTGACGAATTTGGGCTCCGTTTTGTTAGTTATGACGAGTCTATACCTCTGGACTTGATGGAGTGACATAAAGGTCTAAATCGGTGATTGCAACTGGAACTCCTAGACTGGTAGAACTAGGTGTGCCGAGTTTGGGTTCGTTTTGTTAGTTACGATGAGACCTTACCACCGGACTTGATAGAGTGACCTGAAGGGGTAATTCAGTAACTACTGCTGGAATTTCTGAACGAGTAGAACTAGGTGTGCCAAATTTGGGCTTCGTTTTGTTAGTTATGACGAGTCCATACCTCCGGACTTGATGGAGTGACCTGAAGGTGTAGTTCAGTGATTACAAGTGGAACTCCTAGACTTGTAGAACTAGGTGTGCCGAGTTTGGGTTCGTTTTGTTAGTTACGATGAGACCTTACCACCGGACTTGATTGAGTGACCTGAAGGTGTAATCAGGTGGTTACAAATGGAACTCCTAGACTAGTAGAACTAGGTGTGACGAGTTTGGTTTCGTTTTGTTAGTTACGATAAGACCTTACCACCGGACTTGATGGAGTGAAATTCGGCACACCTAGTTCTACTGGTTCAGAAATTCCAGCGGTAGTTACTGAATTACCCCTTCAGGTCACTCCATCAAGTCTGGTGGTAAGGTCTCATCATAACTAACAAAACGAACCCAAACTCGGCACACCTAGTCCTACAAGTCTAGAAGTTCCACTTGTAATCACCGAAATATACCTTCAGGTCACTCCATCATGTCCGGTGGTAAGGTCTCATCATAACCTACAAAACGAACCCAAACTCGGCACACCTAGTTCCACCAGTCTAGGAGTTCCAGTTGCAATCACCGATTTACACCTTCAGGTCACTCCATCAAGTCCGGAGGTATGGACTCGTCATAACTAACAAAACGGAGCCCAAATTCGGCACACGTATTT